TATTTCCATAATTTCTGGGAAAAACTGAATAGAGATGATCCTACAACTGGTCAGATATATGGCCAAGAACTTATTGATCAAATCACTAAGACTATCCAGGCATATCAAGACTCCCCAAAAAAGGGGTTAACTGCTGGAAGCTCCATTAAACATATTGCAAGAAGGATTTCCATTCAAGATGGAGATAAACAAGAAATGATTAATGACTACCTAGAAGAAGTCAAGAAGAACTTAATGGAAAGTATTTCAGACTTTGATAAATCAGACACATCAATGAAGAGTGGACATAGTGGTAATGCCACTGATGCACAATCAATGAATCAAGATGCTGATTTGACTGAACGTCAATTAAACAAAGTGGAAGATTTCCTAGCCTCAATTAAAGATCAGGAAAGCACGATAATTAAAAAGATAAAGGGAAAAGATAAGATATGATAAGATTTAAAATCTGATTCATTCTTATCAAAAATAGTTTAAAGCATTATTATTAGGACCCACTTTTGGTCAATTATTGTAGGACCCACTTTTGGGGTCCATTTTACTGTTTAAAGCATTATTATTAGGACCCACTTTTGGTCCATTATTGTAGGACCCACTTTTGGGGTCCATTTTACTTTTCTTTGTCTATAAAGGAAGACTCATTCTCATTTGAGAAGTAAGTCTTCTGAAGTTTAGTTTTAAGTTTTCGTCTCTCTTCTCTCTCTATTGTAAAAACTTTCTAGTTTGAAGAAATAAAAACTGTGGTTTGAAGAAATTCTTCAAGGTATTAAATTATTTCTTTCTTATTTATATTATTATCCTTTGTGATTGCCGCCTATATGGCCGGCTAAGATACTTTCATATCTATGCTAGCTTCATAACTTCTGCATGATGTTCTTATTTAATATCTAGATCTAACTAAGTTATAATGAACTCTTATTATAGTTTTTAAATCTCTTATCACAAGTTTTGACTTGGTTTTGAGGTGGTGGCAAGTTTTGAATATCAATGATAGCGAGCATGTGGTTTGTAAGTCCCCGTTAAGATGAAGAAAGGGGCAGCCTGAAACCCTTGTTAGAACTTTTATCTATTGATATTTAAGACGAACTCCATGCTCGAGTAAAAGATTACCATACAGCCGAAACTTAGGA